GTTGCTGGTGCCATTTTTAAACATTAGCTCCACAGCACTTCTGTGCTGCAAAACACAAACTGTCCTTCATACTGTGGCTATGCACCATTATCCCAAGGAAATGGTCAAGAAAGGAAAGTTAGTGCCTCATTTCAGTGACTGAGGTATGAAGGTGCTGAGTGCATGCAGAAGCTGGATCCTGCCAGAAAAGAAGGCCATAGCACCAGACCGACACCCTGGACTCAGACAGAAGTTGGCTGAGTGCAGTGTCCGGGTACAGGAAGAAGGTTACGATCTTCGTCGCCCTGCAAGGTTAAATAACATCATCTTCTCTTTGCTACCTCAAGTCAGAAGGCCACCACTCACTAACTCTGTTACAGCAAATGCTTCTCACCAAGGCTTCTGGACTACAATTCCCATTATTTCAAGTATCATGTTCACTCAATGGGTCTCAGCCACCTCACACTCCCAAACTACTTACCCCTCCTGCCCTCTTTGCTTCCTACTGAATCACTGAAGGCAACTCTCAACCTCTCCTGCTCTTGCATCACTATTAATTGCTTTTCCATCCACTGTCATCACATTCAGTCTGGCCTGTCCTCCCATACAGATGTCTCCAGGGCATCCTAAATGATGTATCTGTAATTCCTGAACTGACCTACAGCACTGACTGTGTGCCTGAACTCAAATCAAACAAGCCTATTTATTGGCTGCAGGGGTATCTCCTAACTAAATATAGTCAACCTTGACCCCACAAGGACTGGTGCCCTTTGAATTTTCACACATGGCCATTTGGTTGAAGCACACGTAATATGCTTGCCACATAAGCTGCTGTTACATGCTGAAGGTGTGACATGGAATGATGCCATATAGCAACATGTCCGACTGTTCAGCACTCCAAGCCAACATAAACTACTGCCTCTTCCTATGCGCTAAAAAGCAATGCAAGTCATATAGGTTAGCCGCCTCCAAATACGCGCAAAGTGAGTGATCCTTAGATATGAAGCTAAGTGCCAGAAGATGAATCCTATATAGATATATGTGTCCCTACATGCAAAGTCATGTGGCAGAAGCCTGCAAGTACTAGGCGTTGCTGAGCTCCAATTTTAACGACATCTTTCCTACTGTAGGGAGACCAAATGCAGTATTCCAAAAGTGGCCCAATCAATGTCCTGTACAGCTACAACATGACATCCCAACTCCAATACTCAATGTACTGGCCAATAAAGGCAAACATTACTAAACACCTTCTTCACTGCACTGTCTACCTGCGATTCCACTTGCGATTCCACTTTCAAGGAACCATGAACCTGCACCCCATGGTCTCTTTATTCGATAACTCTCCCCAGGACCCTACCATTAAGTGTACAAGTCCTGCTATGATTTGCCTTTGCAAAATGCAACACCTCACACTTATCTAAATTAAACTCCATCCACCACTCCTTGGTCCATCGGCCATCTGATCAAGGTCCCGTTGTACTCTGGGGTAACCTTCTTCACTGTCCGCTACACACCTATCTAGGTGTCATCTGCAATACATTCACATTCAAATCATTTATATAAGTAATAAAAAGCAGTGGACCCAGCACTGAATCCTTGCGGCACCTGGTCACAGGTCTCCAGTGCGACAAACTGTCCAATTTTGGCACTGGATCTGTTCCGCCATTCAATGGGGCTGATTGAATCCGCGGCTCCACTTTCTCGACTTTTCCCTTCATTCCCTTACTGATTAAAAATCTATGCCAACTTTGAACACAGACCTCTGCGGTAAAGAATTCCACAAATTAAGAATGCTCAGAGAAGAAATTGCCCCTTATCTCTCTCTTCATGTGTGACCCCTTATTCTGAGATTATGCCCTCTGTTCCTACACTCTCACATTAGGGGAAACAACTGTTCTGCATCTGTCCTGTCAAGTCTGCTATGAATCTAGTATGTTTCAAAAGGTCACCATTCATTCTTCTAAATTTCAAAGAGCACAGACCCAACCTCAGAGTCATTGAGATATACAGCATATCCCTCTAAACCTTTCCCACTTATATAGGCATCCAGATGCCTTTTAAATGTTGAAATTGTACCCACCTCTACCACTTCCCCTTGAAGCTCAATCCATACATGCATCACCCTCTGCATGAAAATGTTTCCCCTTAGATCCCTTTTAAATCTTTCCCCTCTCATCTTCAACCTTTAGTTTAGGACACCCCCACCCCAAGGAAAAGACCTTGTTTATTTACCCTATCCATGCCCCTCATGATTTTATAAACCTCTATAAGGTCACCCCTCAGCCTCTGACACTCCTGGCAAAAAAGCCCCAGCCTATTTAGCCTCTCCCTATAGCTCAAACCCTCCAACCCTAGCAACATCCTTGTAAATCTTTTCTGAACTCTTTCAAGTTTCACAACATCCTTACTAGCAGTGAGACCAGAACTGAATGCAGTATTCCAATAGTGGCCTAACCAATGTTCTGTACAGCGCAACACGATCTCCCAATTCCTTTACTCAATGTACTAAACAATAAAGGCAAGCAAACCAAATGCTTTCTTATCCTATCTACCTGGGACTCCACTTTCAAGGAACTATGAACCTGCACTTCAAGGTCTCTTTGTTCAGCAACACTCCCCAGGACCTTACCACTCAAGTCCTCCTCATAAGACAGTCTCTCCATACCCAGGATGAACCTAGTGAATCTTCTTATGACTGTCCAATGCCACTGTATCTTTTAGTTAGGGGACCCAAAGCTGTTCATTGTAATCCAGCTGTTTTAGCAATACTTCCTTAGTTTTTATACTCTATTCTATGCTGTGGCTTTTTGTAGTCTTTCTCCATCTAAATAACATTCAGCTCCTCTATTTTTTCAGAACAAAGTGCATAACCTCATATTTTCTCACATTATATTTCATCTGCTAAATTTTTGACCACTTGCTTAACTTGTCTATTTCCGTCTGCAGACTCTGTATCATTCTAACGACTTGCATTCTCATCTATTTTTCTGTTACGTGCAAACTCGCCATTCACTTTCCTCATCCAAGTCATTAATATATTTTGTAAATAATTGTGACCCCAGTACTGATCCCTGTGACACTCCAGCTTTTAGAGGTTGCTATACTGAATGTGCCCCTTCTATACCAAATCTGACTTCTATAAATTAACCAATCCTTTATCCATGCTAACCAATCCTTTATCCATGCTAATGTACTACTTCGGACACAATGGACTCTTATTGAGTAGCCTAATGTGAGGCACCTTACCAAATGCCTTCTGAAAATCCCTTTTTTTTATAATTATATCCACTGCATCTCCTTTATCTGTCCTGCTGGTTACCTCCTCAAAGAATTCTGAAAATTGAAGCGATAATTTTCTCTTTGTAAAGCCATGCTGACTCTATCTATTTCCAAATGCTGTTACTTCCTTTATAACTAACTCTAACATTTTTTTCCAATAATAGACTTAAAACTAACTATAGTTACTTTTTATCCATGCAGGGTAAACAAGCATATAATACCCACAATCCTAGTTCCTTTCCTGTACCCTTCTTACATCCAGGGATCTGCCTTTCCTGTGGAAGATATTGCTCCTCATTGCAAACTGCTGCCATCCTTGCGTTCAGTGGCACCCCAACTGTATGGAAGCCTTTGACCATCCTCATATGCCACCTATTTGCCAAAAGCATGGTGATCCCTGTATTGCCTGTGCACTCAGTGGTCCCTCTCCCTGCGACTTGTACAAACAAATTGGCCAAGTTTCTCATTTCAAGCCTTCTCCCTATTATGGGCCCATCTAATTTGTAGGGCCAGTTATATTGGACTCCCCACTGTATCTACCTCTACGTACCTCATCTACCTTTGACTCAACATGTAGTCTATACAACCCCATCAAAAACTCATCATGTTCTTCAAAAGCCCTTTATCAATCTCAACTGCAGTTATCAATGTTGGACAGGTTCTTGTGGTTGTCCTCCCTATGCAATGGTGAAATGCATGGTCCTACATCCCAAACTGATTATTTAGCAAATACGTTCCAGTTACTTAGGCCTAGTAGTATAAACGTGGGACTACATGTCTGGAACTGAATAATCATAATATAATAAATCCCCTCTATTATCTGTCTGCCTCTTGACTTCTCCTGCCTCCTTCAACTAAGTTCTCTTTGACCAGCATTTCTTCATCTGCTGTAATATCTCCTTGTATGGTTCCATTTCAATTTTTATTTAATGTTTTTCTGTGCAACATCTTGTCACACGCTACTATCTTAAATGTGCTTTAGAAAAAGTTAAGATTTTGCTGTTACGTGGTTCTCACTTCTTATTCTATCCAGAAGTCCATTCCACACTTTTGTCTAAGTTTGTGCAACTATTGTGAACTTTTGTTCCCTTGCTCTAAACTGACAATTTAATCTGAACTAATTTTCTGGGGTCACTTTCTCCAAACTATTTAGTATACCTCAATAACGATATTTCTCAAATCTCTTTTCATGCCTGAAAATAGTTTGCTAATATTTCCCACAAGCCTGATTCCTAACACTTAGAAACAAAATAATGTGGTACAAACTGCTCCTGTGGTATAGTATACCAAGACGTATCTTCTATAACATCTAGTAAAAACACCAAGTAGTAATTGGTGAATCTACCGCATGATGGCCATCACTTTTTTACAAGCTGGAAACATGGTCCTGTGCTTTGTAATGTGTACGAATCACTGTGATTGTGGCACTATATCCTCGACATGAATCAAATTAAGAAAAAAATTATTCTCTCTCTCTCTATCTCACTCACAAGGTCACGAAACCTCTGTTTCTACATTCAGACGGTAAGAAGTAATCTGGTCAAATATAACACTTGGGAAACAGAGGGCAATACTATTTCTCTGCACAAAATCTCTTTTAAATTCACGATATTGAATTGGACACTGCAGCTGATGACAGCTTCTCAAGACAATTGTTCTGACAGTTGTAAAAGCCATACCAATTAACTAGCTCAGTCAAACTCATACAAACTGAAAAATCCACATGTATTCGGAGAACTTACCTGGGATCTGTCTTTTATGTTGTAATTTTCGAGTTTTCCTCCACAAAGAATAATAAGTTTATCTAGTAACGAAAGAAGGAAGTCTATTGCATAACATCTGTCCTTGACTCCTCTCACCCAAGTGATCTGATCACCCCGTAGATGTCTTTTGCAGTAACCAGCTCTTTGACCGGCCAGCTGCCCATCTCGTAACGCTCCAACAGAATGCAAGTTACGAACTTCTTCATAAACACAATCCCCGACTGCACTTCCCAAAAAATTATCAATATAATAATAACCGTGTTCATTTAAACGAGGTACGACGCTCTCCCTCGCTAGCTTCTCAAGATCTAAAACCATCTTGTGAAATCGTAAATCGAATCTTATCAGAGGATCCAGTATGTTACTTTTCCAATTACTGTAAGTTATGAGTAACCCTTAATCAGCGAGCTTGCAAGATTTTTTGAGATCACTAATATCGAGGGTTCCGCCTCTGGTTCAGAATCTTAGTAATACTTTCTGTATCATATGACTTAAAATAGCAGAAACTCGAGGACCTCAATCCTAAACCTGGCTTTCCAGCACCAACGATGGTAAACTTAGACCCTGTACTAAGTGTTGAGCTTCAGGCAAACGACGTGCTTTTAACCACTGGAAGCGACGTGCGGAGTGTGACGGTGGGAGGAGCTGGAAGGAGAGAGCCGCCATTGAGGAATTTCAGCATAGCATGTAGACAAAGTTTCATGGGGCGAGTCTGCCAGGCCACAGCCCTTTCATTTGAACCGGAACGCAGAAAGATGAACCGTGAAAAGAAAAGGTGACATATTTGCTCGGTTTCGTTATGATTGGGAAACCCTGACCGTCAGTAAAATGAATGAATAATGAAGGGAACTCATAAAGTTCGCCACTTTTTTGGCTATTTCAAAGTGGGAACAACATCAACCAATCACTATCTTCTAAAGTAATACAATCAATAAACGTGTTTCAAGGACGTTAAAGAAATGTTTGATTAAGTAACTCGATTTTAAACAAACTTGAGGGTGCATTCGCACCAATTCTCCAATATACAGTACAGCACTCTGAATTCAGGGTCAAGGCACCAGACCAAAGCAGTGACATTTTTCTGAACGAAATCTCTCATTGACTTTTTGTATTCGTTTTTGGTTTTGTCACCAAACAAGTATAATAATGCAATAACTGCAACTTTTATTTCAGCAATACTTTAAAGAAGATATCCCAAAGCGCAATTAAGCAGTACAGTCAAATAAAAAAAATTAGACCCAGCCAAAAAAAACTGACTGAAAATTTGATCACACATCGGTTTTAAAGGTCCACCAACTTAAACATTCACTTCCTCCACTGTCAGCAAGCAAACCTTGACTGAAATGTGTACCAACAATGCACAACTCACCATCTTTTTTGTCAGCATTGCCCAAACCTGTAACGGAGCAGGACAAGCCCACTAGGTGCGTAGCAACACAATCACATGCGTTCCCCGCCCCATCGCCATTCCTTTGGAGAGACTGAGGTCAAAATCAGGAAAATCCCTACAAAACTGTAACAGTACCTTAAACACAGGCTATCTGTTCAAGATGGTGCATCACTTCCACCTTCTCCAGCAATTAGGAACAGGTAATAAATGCTTTGTCAATGATGTCAACATCTTGTAAATTAACAAAATAAGGTAGAAAGGCAGTGATATTTAGGAAGGCAAAACTTGAGGTATAACTGCATTACAAATAATGATTTTGTGGCTATAGTATATTACCATATAAAGAAAGTAAATAGAAGTTTGATAAAAGGGGAGAACAACCATCTGAAAGTGAATGATTATGAAAACTGAATAGTTATATTGAATGCTTGAAGTGAAATTAAAAAAACACCCCTAACAATTGATGTACATGTAGTTCTACATAGGTGAGAACCTACTTTTTCCAAACCTCATAAATTTTCCATCTGTTCTTTTTGCCAAAGTGTTATTTCAGCATGTCAATTTTCTCCTTAACTGCTCCTCTTTTCCACCTTGCTATACCCTATCTAACACTCCTTAAAGTACTTTGTGTCTAATTTTCTGGGATTTAGGCCTTTTTCCATCCTGAAGGGAGAGACAGGACTACTGTCACTAGATTAGAAATCTAGAGGTCCAGGCTAACACTTTGAGGACATGGGTTCAAATTCTATCATGGCAGATGAATCTCAGTAAAAGATAACCATTTTCAATTAATGCAGAACGTCCATCGATTAACCAATGGTCTTTAGGGAAGGAAATCTGCCATCCTTATGAGGTATGACCCACATGACCCCAGACCCAAAACAATGAGTTGACTCTTTACTGTTGTCTGAAATTACCTAGTAAGCCAGTCAGTTCAAGGGCAATTAGGAATGGTCAATATTTGCCAAAGATACTGACATTTCATGAAACAAAAAAAATCTAAATCTGAAAAAACAATTCAAACAAAGTTAGTCTTCTGCACAAATATTTAAGATCATTTTGAAGCTGGTTGTATGTGATGGTTTGGATAGAAAAAGAGAAAACGCATAATGAGTTGACGAGTTGTGTGGAGAACAACAATGCAGTCACATGACTAAAATATTTACAAAATAGGTAAAGTGGCTGAGTGCAGCGGTGGGAACCATCTGTATTTGTTTCTCTTTCACCACCATGAGCACTCCTTTTGTCTTTGATCTGGGCGCCATCACCTCTGTTCCACTTGCTCCTCCTGCCTTTTGACAACAACATAAAAAATACTACTTTCCAGCCCCTTCAATTCTGAAGAAAAGATAAACAGTTAAGGTTTTGAGTCCAGTATCTCTCTCCACAGATGCTGCCAGACCTGCTACGTTTTTCCCAAACAGTCTGTTTTGACTTCTTAATCTCTCCTTTCTCACCTTCCTTTATGGTTTATAATGCTCCTTAAAACCAATTTTCAAAACAGACTTTTGGTCACCTGTTCTGAAATATCCTTACATGATTCAATATTAAGTTTTGTTCTTAACACTCCTGTGAAGTTCCTTTAGACAATCTACCACTTTAACACCTATCAAAATGCAAGCTGCTGTGGTAAGCTCTCTTTTCCAGTTCATGGTTGCACTTTTCTCATTTTACACTAGGATTCTTCTTCCCTTCCCAGTTTATAATAGTTCTTTCCCCCTCCTTTTCCCCTCAATTTATAGTGGCAGTTTATGTCCACCTTCCTCAGGTCCTACTGACAGTTCTCACTCTATCCCTTTATTCCACACTAGACTTTTTGCCCTTACTTGGTTTACATTGATATTCTCCCATCTGGTCCCTCCACTCTCTTTCCTCTTCAGGGATGAAATGCTGCTGTACATGGGAATTTATGATAGTTTTATAAGATTTCGATTTTCAATGTTGCCATGCTGTTGTAAGACTTTCAACGCATTGCAGTATTTCATTCTCACAGAAGCAGGCCAGAGTGCAGGTACAGACTAACCCAGGCTTTTTAGGCCTTCATGCCAATGATAGCTGGCACAATAATTATCCCTTCACATTCGGCATTCTAAATCCTGAAGGGTCAAAATCACAGTAATACTTGGCAATAGCTAACAACCTTATTGCATGTGGAAGTAATGGCACATGTGGTGGGATGGTTCTATGTGACTTGACAATTCTTGTGTTATAACTTCCAATTCAACACACCAGATTCTAATTTAGGAAATGCCTCTTTTTATGTATATACTTAATTAATATTTTATATTTGATTTAAAGGTATATCAAAAAAGTTCTTATATAATTTACTGATGCAAACAAAATAGCAAAATACATGTTCATGTATTGTAGAATACATTGTAGAAACATAATCATAATAACACTTTATTCTGTTGAAACAGAAAAAAATGCTTATATTGATAGACATTTTCAATCATTATGCAAATTTTAGTCACTGACCTTGTGCCTTCCTCTGATTCTGTAGTGCCCAAGTTTCCCATCCGCATGTAATATAAGTTTATCCATTCTTTGCATCAGAAGTCCTATAGATGCACAGCCAGGCTCAGTACCCTGTACCCACATTATTTTGTCTCCACGAATAGTTTTATTGGAAGTGCCAGAAGGTGCAGTTACTTCTTTATCTGAACTGGTACTCTGCCCTGCCAGTGTTCCATCCTCAAAACTGCCACTCTGATAGAGAGTTACAACTTCTTGCAAAATTTTGTCGCCAATTTTGTGCCCCAAAAAGCTATCGACGAAACATAACCCGTATTGATTCATGCAAGGTGCTATGTGATCTAACACTAGCTTTGACAGATTCATTCTCTTACTATTTGTGGTTTTGGTACAAAGATGTTTATTCAAGGTGTCAGGTGTTATCCATGATTCGCATTTTACTTGACACTGATCCTCTTTGTTATTAGAAACTCCCTTCGAGCACTTTGGTAGTTCATCCTCACTACTTGCATCCTGTTTCCTCACTTTCTTGTTGCTTTCTAAACTACCCGAACTTTTGGAGAAAGATACGTTCAGTGGATCCAAAGAATTTCCGCGTAGTGTTGCTATTTGGGGTTGCACAACTGGAGGATTGTGGACCGTGCTGGCATGTGGAGGGTTCGTGTTGTACGTGTAAAGCGACATGTCCGCTTGTTTATTTACTTGTTGGGAACACGGGCGTTTGCGCAGTGGCTCCCCGGCGTCCCAGCCTGCCAACGGCGCGCTCGCAGGGTTGCCATGATCCCAGCGCAGTTCCAGGCGGTGCCAACTGTCACCGGCTTGCACGCGCCGGACCACACAATCGTTCGTCGCGCCTCCCACCGCCAGCCCGCTCGCGCCCTCACATTCCACGGGCGGCCGTTGGATCTCGCTCGCGCGCTCGCGCTCCACAGCCAGCCGCTGCGGCCCGCCTGCACCGTCACCTTGCCCGAGCTCCGTAGCCACTTTCCCCGACCTCCGCCTTGTGCCCAACGCGCCGCGAGCCCCGCTGTCATCGCTGTCGGGTTCGTTATCCATGCCTCTCACTTCTGGAGCCCGGGAACAAGTCTCCGCCAGAGAAACTCGCTTTCTGCCGCCCGCTCGGTTACCGTCTCGCGTGCCATTCCCCTTGTCTCGCCGGTGGAGCAAGGAGACCGAGTCAAAGCCAAAGTCGAGCCAATTCGCATCGGTCTTTGAACAGTCCCGATCTCGCGTTTGCTTCTCTTCCTCGAACCTGGTGCGCGTGCTCGTAACGGGCTCTCCCTCGGAGCAGTCGAGGTTCCGCGAGACGCTGTCATTTTCCAGTCGTTCCTGCACGTGGCCAGTGCCCCGCTGCCGCTTTGCAGCGTCCCTGAACCAGCTCAGCATTTCCAAAGATTCACACCGACTGATTGCAACGTTTGACAAATCGTCAATCACGGATTATGCTGCATTAACAAAACCCCATTGTACCTGAGGCAACCTTCACGTGCACGCGCTTCCGAAGCGCTTTCCATGGCTAAGACGTTTCCCAAAGGACATCTACCTCCTCCGCCCACCCATCCTTAAAACGAGTTTATAAAGTTAGAAAACTTACTGGGGAATGAATGTTTGATATGCACGCATGAGAAGGTATCGCAACTCTGGATTTCTACCAGGCTGTTTTTATTTATACTCCTACCCATGTGACTAATGTATTTTGGGAATTGAATGATAGCATACATTATATAGGAAGACAAGCAAACTCAAAACTGATCAAAGGGAATGTAGCAAGGGAGGTTAATGTTTTATACGTGCTTATGTGTGGGACAGCACTCCTTCAACGAATAGCATTTCACAAATTTAAATATTGTTGCGAAATTAATAGAATCACGTTACATTTATAGCATAGATGAAAGCCGTCCTGACCGTGATGGAGAGGGTGATTGGTTATCTCAAGGGTGTGACTGGGAAAGTCCAATGCTGATGACCTAATGACCATACGGGAGGGGTGCATACTGACGGAAAAAAGCATACACAAGTCAAAAGGAGACTCCTAAACTCAATCTCAGACAAACTGTCAGAAAAATAAAGGGCAAATGACATCTCT